ATGTAATAGATATGTACATATATGTATTCGTTAATATATATGTATGTATTATATATATATATACAATTTATTCGTTCCTATAAGCGAATATATATATTTATATTTATTATATATATTATATTATAAGTACCTATTGATTAAGTATTTTAGAAATTTATATATATGCTTAGTTAAGTGTACTAGTTTATACTAAAGTCAAAACAATTTCATTTAGTCACCTATTGTAATGCTTACTGTAGGTACGTTGAAAATGGTTCACTTGCTAATATTATCAAGCCTAATAAGTTCGGACCGTTCCCTGAGTCATTAGTGGCTGTTTATATTGCTCAGGTGCATATCTGATAAATTTCCTTTCTTTCTTTGTGCATTTTCTCTTTATTTCCATTGATTTTGATAGCTAAAATATTGATAATAGGTTTTGGAAGGTTTGGTTTATTTGCATGAGCAAGGTGTTATTCATCGTGACATTAAGGGCGCAAATATTCTGACTACAAAAGAGGTATCTTTTGGTTGTGAATCATTTCACTCGTTTTCCTAGGTGATCTTAGTAATTCCTGAATGCAAGTTATAAGTATGCCTTGTTCATATACCACATATATTAATTTTCTTGATAAGTTGATCCTATTTAATCACTTGCGAGTATCCTTCATGATTATTTGTTCATATTTATTTAATGGTTGTTCTTCACATGGTTGCTTTTCAAAGTTGACTATTGTGGAGTTTAACCTATTGATCTTAACTATGATTCTTTTTCATAGAATATCTAATTAAAATCATAAATATAACTCTTCTTCATCGGATAATAAATTCAATCTGATTGCATTTTGGAAATGCTAATGTGTTCTCGAGGCATGGCTTTGAAACCCATCTTGGGGCTCATGAATCATGCAAATAAAGGATGGTGTAAACCATATAGAGTGGTGTACGGCATTAGAACTTTTGCACCTCATATTGTAAACATACACATTGTATGAGGTCATTTAGTTATGAATATAAGCAAAGAGTGGTGTCTCATTTAATTTCTATATTCTTTTGTCCGTAGTGGTAAATTCAGGTTATATTATATATTGCTGAAATAGAAGCGGACATGATACGACAAATTGAACTAAAAAAAATAATTATTTGGTATTTTCATTTATAACTTGTGCGCGCGCACACAAATACAAGGACAAGTCCAGGGGCTCTGTATCACCGATAAGAAGATAAAGTCAAGCTTGTTGTTAATAAATCATTCCTTCCGGTTTGTTGATTTAAAAAAGATTGTCCTCTGTAAATTTGATTGTACGAAGGCTCTAGTTGAACTTAATTCAACCATCCCAACATGTTAAGAAAACTCAATTCGAAAGCTAGTTAGTTAAGAAAAACTAATTATACAGCTAATAAGTTACGCAAATTTAATGATACTAAGGCTCTAGTATTAATGAAAAATCCAATAAGTGAAGGTAACTCAATTCAAATATCGCAACAATAATATAACATCAACTGAAAGGTATATCTAAATATCGGGTGTAGTTTAACATTATATGTATAACGATGGAGTCAAGCATAAGTTACATGATACTTGTATAAAAATACATCAACTTAAAGTAATCTCTAGCCTGATAAAACTTCTGGACCGAGTATTTATCGGTTATATTAATTACGACTTACGAGTTGTTTGTATGATGATGGATAAGTCTTGTTTGCCATTTTCTTTCTTCTGTGCTTTCATGTTAAATTATGCAGATGAACATAGATGAACTTGGTGAAACTTGGTTGTTTGACTCAGAAATAAATGCCCAGAAACTGAGCAATGATTTAGCATTTAACACAGCACAATGCAGTTTAAAAACATTCATGTTCATCCATAAAATTCAAGGTCAACTAAAATCAAACATTCCGGGCATGATATCCTATTGCTTGGACACTTCAAATGTAAGTCCATTATGTTGGAGAAATCACATAATCATGGGAGACAGATGAAATTTTTTGCATGAAAATATTGCGATTACAAGAGGGATTTCCTTGGAACACTTAAACACACTGTTATAAATAGCGGTAAATAGCCCCGCAATAGCGGCGCTAATAGCGTTAGCGGTCCCTTCCCGCGACGCTATTGCCCGCTACGCTATCGCGCAATAGCGGTGACATATTACGGAATATGTCCGTTCGCAAAAGCGGTCAATAGTGTGTCATAACGGTAAATAGTGAGCGATTGCATTCTAAATTTGCTTTTTGACTGCTATTTAAAAACGGTTTAAGGCTTATTTTTTTTAAATTAAACTCAACTCTTGACCATTGCATTCCACCGGTTCCTGTGATTTTCAGCATACTCCTGCCACCTCTCATAGCCTCTGGCACCTACCTTGATACTTCATCTCACATTCTTCACCGTGAGCTCCTTTTAGGGCAGTCCTGTCACCGCTAAACTCTTCTTCTTGAAGACGACGATTTTTTGACTCCTCCAGTCATCTTTAGTATTACGTGATGGTTACATGTCTATTTCATGTTTAGGATCTCTTTAAATCATCCAATATGTACTTTTCATGTTTAGGATCTCTTTAAATCATCCAATATGTACTTTTAGATTTTTTAGATTTTTCTTTAATTTTTTTAGTATTTATACATATCAGATTTTTTAGATTTTTCTTTAATTTTTTTAGTATTTATACATATCTAAATTAGACCGCTATTTGACTTTCCGCTATTTTGCCGCAATAGTCCGAAATAACCTTAGCGATGTCTCACCACTACGCGACGCTATCCGTTATCGATAACCTTGCTTAAACATAACTTATAATACTTGTCTGTTGTTTAGCCTGAAATTGGTGAATATTTTTTAGGGTCTTGTTAAACTTGCGGACTTTGGAGTTGCAACAAAATTGAACGAAGCAGACCTTAATACACATTCTGTCGTTGGCACACCATATTGGATGGCTCCCGAGGTAACTGCTTGAATATTATGCACTTTTATTTCACATATCATATCCATGCTTGGGAAATATTTACTTCAGAGACTTTTGGTTCATGTAAAATGGTATATATTCCATTCACGAAATAAGAACCAATTGCCTATTGGGTGAAAGCAAAAGTGAAAAGCTATATAAGTTTGTTAAATATTTAGCACCCTAAAACCATCAAAGAAGATTTGGGCCTTGTCCAGTTATCGTGTGTTCAACTAATGGTATACTGAACAAAGAAAAGGGTAGGGAAGGAGGAAGATTGTAATCCTGTAAGCATGTAACATTTATTAAGTCATCCACATCTATTCTTCCTGAAGAAAGTACCTTTTCTGTTTTTAATTTCTTAAATTTGTCACTTGTGCACTGTTGACATGGCGAATTCATTTTAAGGATTTATACTTTGGAATTTTGTTTTTTGTAACCAGTTTGGGTTCAAATGATTAAAGGAATTAATGTTGTTTCTATTTCTCATCAGTAGGCAGGCACTTGATATCAGCCTTTCTAGAAGTGTTATATTGAATTTCCTAATTTTGTTATTTAGGGGTTGTCTTAACATCAATTGTGTTGGTGCATACGCGTTGGTTTTGTGGGGTTGGGTAGGGTTGTGAGGTGTAGTTGGTTTTTTTAGGGCAGTTAGTGATGTAGGCAACTTTCGTTTGGAAAATCATAAAGGAACAATAAAAAAGAGGGCCAAGGCTCCATTTAGTTTCAGAAATTTGATTTTAATAAAAGTCCTTTCTTTTATAATTATGCGAGTTGATAGTTATGAATTTTAATTGATTTATAAATCTTTGTAGAGACTAATTATTAGGAAGTTTTGTTTTACTATGATTAAATCTTTCTTATAAGAGATTAGTTTATTGGTGATGAGTTTTGTAAGTTTAAATGTTAATGTTTCTTCAATTAAAGTATGGAGATGTTTATTGGCAGTAAGTTATACATTTCTTTAGATTGTGTGATGTGATTTTGATGTTAAACCCTGAATTTCGAAGGGATAATATCTTAACTAACGTGAAGTTGTTGATTCAGCTGTGAACAAAGCACGGTTGAGATTGGTGTAATGCTCAATGAGTATTTCCAAGAAATTGCAATATTATCCTTTTCCTATATACTCTGTTCCAAAAAATTTCTTCTTTGCCCGTGGCAAAATCGCGCCATTCCTGTCATTTGGTATCAAATCCAAATAGCTCAACCATCGTAAAATCAGAATTGCTACAAATTTCATATTTTTATTCGAGTCAATGTTTGGTGGGGTTTCTTTAGCAAAAGCAAAGTTGCAGTGACTTCATTCCAATGACTCGAATTTGTTCAATGCATCTAATTTCAGACTTGAGTTGCTCCAACTAGTTAATTTTTTGTAAGACAAATTTTGTTTTGAAAATTAAAGGAAAAATAGAGGGGGGAAGAGGAAGACAGGATGGTCAGAACTTCTTTTAGTAATTAAATTTTGATTTCAGTAGAAGTTTTCTTGTAGCTTTACATTAAAACACAAGTTATTAGTTATAATTTTAATTGCTTTATGAATCATTCTTGGAACCTAATTTTAATTGCTTTAGCTCCCACCTTACTAACCCTTTTTTGCTATAAATTTTTGTTATTGTAACGCTCGTGTCAAAGTTTTCTCAAATTTGTACAATTTCAATTTAGGACCAGCACTGCAAACTTGTTCATGCACTCTCCTGTAACATAAATTAGTCAGTTTAATTGAAAATATTTTTCTCTCAGTAAACATTCTCTCAGTAGACATCTTATTGCTTGCATTAAAAAAAATCAGAGTCATTGCTGATACCAAAATTTAAAGTCACCTTTCATATTAGATTGTACTATGAACTTGTTAAAATGCTTCTTTATTCATTTTCTGTTCTTTTGACGAATGACTACTGTTTAACACATCAGGTTATTGAGATGTCTGGGGTTTGTGCTGCATCTGATATTTGGAGTGTTGGTTGCACTGTTATTGAGCTGCTCACATGTGTTCCTCCGTATTATGATCTTCAGCCTATGCCAGCACTTTTCCGAATTGTTCAGGTTTTTTTACCATTTTCTGGTTTTCTGCCCATTCGATGATATTATTAATATATGGTAAGTTTATCTAACATGAATGTTGTCAGCATCCTATATAATCGTCCTATATAATCCTCTCTGAGCCACCCAAAACCTCAAGTTGACCCTATCGTTCTGACAGTAGGAAAATATAAAAATCTAAAGTGACAGGAAAGGATCTCCAGATGACCAAGTTCTCCTGTAAATGCATATGATGGTAAATTAAAAATCCCTTGAGCTCTGAATTCATTGATTTCCACTTATACCGGGACGGTATGGATAAGATGGATAAAAGGGAAATGTGAGGAAATAAAGATAGGATGTCAATCACTCTTAAGGGTACAGAAACGCCACCTTAGAATAAAGGACTGATAAATGGGGTTAGCTGACCAATTTAGAGAGTAGAGACACAGTTATCACCACTCTAGATAGAACGACAAATCACCACTCCTCAGGCCCTACCTTAGAGATATAGATAAACACTCACACTCAATGGAATCCACCAAAGAAATGTAGAGAAAAGTTAAGCACAATGCTTAATTATAATCAAACTCAACACACTTATATTTTCATTAGATCAATAAGAATAAGGTACATATAGGCTTGAAATAACCCTTCAGGCATGAGAATCTCAGATTTCTAGATGACACAGTTAAATGATATCGAAATACAAAAATACATATTTGACTAATTTAATATCCTAGAAAACATAAACGTCAATGCAGTCCAGGAAGATCATCTCTTAGTATTTTGCATATAATTTTCTCCAGGGAACCATAATTCACGCACAGCTAGATTCATTTGAAAATAGACTCCTTACACTTTATAATGCTTCACGGAGAGTCAATTGGAGTCTCCTGTGAAAAGTTACGACTGAAACAATCAAGGCTGTGCATGCAGTCCAAAGAATCCGGAATTGTAAAATTGGTCTCCTTTTGCTCCTGCATCATCTACCATATTTCTTTATCAAGCAGTGAGATAGGGGAGCTTCATGCTGGAACGGATTGGAGACCTTGTATCCATTGCTTACATTGGGGTTGGGCAAGATCTTTCTTAAGAAGGGCCTAAGGATTTCTTTAAGTAATTGCCTGGATTATCTTAATTTGTTATTTCTTGCAAAATTTTCCTCTACAAGGATTTTTTTTACTTTTGTTTTATGTTCTGTGCTTTCATTTCTGGCAGATTTCATATACTGAAATGAATATAATTGTACAAACAAGATTTTATGTTTTTATCAGTCAGCTTACTGTATAAGTTAGATGATCTGATGTCAATTTTGTGAGGTTTATCGGTGTAACTTCCTAACTTGATCGCTGCATTTGTTGGCGATCCTTCCTCCTGAACATGGTACATATTCTTATGAGGTGGAACACATTTTTTTACGGCAACCTGAATGATAAACTTGGAGGCTTCACCAACCTTTGGTACACCGATTAATTTGTCTCCAAGATGTTTTCCTTGGGTCAGTGTCATCCTATAAAATTATGCAAGAAAAGTATGCTTTGTCAATTAGCTCACTGAATTTGATGATGTGAGGTCAATTTCTGAGGTTTATATGGGTGCAATATTGTTAGTTGATTACTGCATGTGTTCAGGTCATCCTTTTTTCTAATAAGTAGTGACAAACTATGTAAAAAACATGGAACATGGAGGAATTTTTTTTTTTATAATCCATATCCTTGTAATTTCTTATATGCGTGCGTAGTATTTACAAACTTTTTTTGTTTTGCATTCTTTTAGGATGTGCATCCTCCTATACCTGATGGATTGTCAGCTGACATTACTGATTTTCTCCGTCAATGTTTTAAGAAGGTAAAAGAATACATTTACTACCGTTGGGTATTTTATACTAAGAAGTGAATAATTATTCTTCATCAAACAAATTTGAAAGAGTTCTTTACTTTTTACCTATATCCCCCAAAATCTATCCTATTTGCAGATTTATCACCAAAATATGACTATATGCTATACTCTCACACTCCTGACATTGGGTTAAAATATCCTCCAGACTCTCTGTTAGAGAATATATTCGTATTTCCTCCATATTATGTTAAAATGGTTAGTGTTTTTAAAGTAATAGTTAATTAGTCCTAAATTTTGTTTACTAAGAGAGATAGGGTGGTCGAGATTTAACTAGTGTCAGGAAATGGGGTTAAATCCGCAAATGGGATAAATCTGCAAATAAGCAGGTTTGGGGGGCATATAGGCTAGAAAGCCCAATTTGCATATTGTGATACAAGCACCGGTCGCTTATTAATGCCACTATACTAACATCAAGAAGCATACTTAGGATGCTATGCAGAGGCCAGATGCAAAGACATTACTGTTGCATTCGTGGATTCAAAATTCAAGGCGTGTTTTGCAGTCCTCTCTCCGACAACCAGGAGGATCAGTTAGGTAAGGGTTAACCCTATCAATTCTTTATCAAATGTATGCAATTGCGGGAAAATTTAAAAGGTTTGAACCTTGATGATTGCATCACATAAATTATTTTCTTGTTTCCTTGCCATACAAAGTAGATATATTTTATATCATTGGCTTTTCTCTTGCTTCTATACCTTAGACAATGTAATTTGTTCTGTTTAATTGAAGATTCTTGGGATTTCATTGGAATGTGAATTACCCAAATCGGACACCGGCATAGCTTCTGTAGAAATGACAGATTTGGGTATACAAATCTAATTGCTGAGTGTGTATCTTATAGACATGGTTAATGTGGATGACAAGGTATAGAAGTTTGTTTGTGTCTGATAGTGTATACTTGGAGATGCAATTTCCGAGCAACATGCAATTCCAACTACAGTAATTGAAACAAATATTCTTGTGAGATAGATTGCTTTTTTAACCATATTGAGCAATTATTTAAATATACGGATTATTACGTACTTTCATGAGAGAAACATGAGGAAAGGTATCATTATTGCTGAGAGAGCATTCATGATGTCTAGTTTGATCTTTCTCATTTTGGGCACAGCGACCAAAGTAGGGACCATGTATTTTGGATTCACAATGTTCCAGCTTGGGGTGCAGTTCAGTGAAATTGAGCTTCAATGACTGAATATTTGAAAATGTTTTGCTAGGTTTCACTTCCATTTGCGGTTCGATTTATTGATTTGAATTGTTCTATAACATGAAATTCTAGCTTTAAAAAAATCATTGTGAATTCTGTAGAAATGTACATGGAAACAACGGAATGGTGAGGGATATTGAACTTTCTAGAGTTGCGAAAATAATCAAATAATGTCATATATGAGCCAAAAGTCATTAATGGTGTGATATTTGTGAAATTTCGCTAATTGTTTACATCATTAAAGAATCCTGTCTAACTTTAACTTTTTGTTGCATGAATGAATTTTAGTTCTCAGTTTTGGATTTGTAAACTCATGTAGTATCTTCTTCTTTAGCTAGTTGAACACTGTGCATCATATAGAAGACATTAAAATAAGATCTAAGCTCCCTTCTTATCCATGACTGTGACCCTTAACTCTTCTTCTGATATTGTGGCTTCTATCTTTTTTAAAAGAGGCAATCCTTTTGGCGGAATATATTTTGGGATAACTGGACATTAATCTTGATTTGAAATCGCTTACCCAGTTTTCATCAAATTTTGACGGTGGAAGATTAGTCGTTAGATCAGAAAGTTTGCTCGTGAAATGGTAATAAACTAATAATAAAGATTAATTTAGCTGCTGTAGAAAGACCTAGCCCTCTACATTCTTTTTTCCCATAGCAGCCTGAGGTAGCAAGTGAAAGTTGAAGTGAGAGCTTTAGCGTATGGTAACCTGCTAAATCTGGACTAATCCATTTAACGGTGGCTGCCACCCTACTAGTTCTTCCATAGCAGCCTAAGTTAGCTGGTGGAAGTTGAAGTTTCAGTGGGTTAGCCTCTGCTAACCTGCTAGATCTGGGTCAAGAACTTAATGATATCTGATCCAACCTGAATAGTGCAACATATCAATCAACTTGTTGTTCCAGGGTCAAGGGAATCAAACCCTTTCCTCATTGCACCAACTTCAGGGTTGAGCTCTCATTGACGAATTCTTTGACACTAGCAAGGTTAGGTTTCATTTATCCTTTCGTTTTCAGATTTTATGGGTGATCTTGCGCAAGCTTGTTTCACGATCTTCATTCCCATACTTTGATCATTTTGTAAGATATGATATATTTTTTATTATATGAAAAGTATAATATCCAGCATTTAATATGTTTACATTCTAGTATCTGGCCAGTTAGTGATGTTCTCTAATTTTAGAGAATATTTCTCTTTTTCTGGTCTTTTTGTTGTTCCATGTTGTATTTATATATTATATTTACTATATTTATTTGCTTAACTATCCTACCTGATTTAGCGGCTATGAAAGCAGCCATTGACCTCTTTAGTGCTTAGCAATATGTTGTCGCTATACTACACTTTCTGCTGTTTGGAAGATAGCTTTATCCAACTACAACTACTCCCTTTCTCTCTATGCCATTCCAGATCAATACCTGAGGTATTTTTTTTAGTGAAAAATATTTATCACTCAGAGTTTGATACCATTTGATCAATTATGGCATCGTGGGTTTCTTTGCATGTCATTCATACAATATCATGTACAATTTTAGAATCCCTACTTCTTAGTTTGTCTTTGACATTTTTTTTCTTCATCCTTATGCTATATTTTCATCATTGTAGTTCTTCCATGAAAGAAGATGATGCTCTATTTAATATCATCACAGTCCACTGTCGATACTTCTTATATTCATCTCTGGAGTTTTACATGAAAGAAGATGTTTCTCTGTTTAATTCTCTGAAAATCCATATTTATGTCTGTCTATTGTTTATTTAGGAACATTGATGAAGATCCTACCACTGCTGATGACACTTCAACTATGGAGGACCATCATGGTATTGAGAGCCCATCAGAAGAGAAAACAAAGAGTGGTGATCCAAAAGTTGAGCGGGTACTGCTTCCAGTTTCATCAAATTGTTTGTTGTTAGTGCAGATAAGGTCAACTTGGTCTACTGTGTAGGCTTTTAACTGATGTGAAGAACTTCTTTCGTGTACAAGTTTTGAAAATATAGTATTAATCATATTTTTGATTATTGTGCATGGTTTTCTTATTGTTCTTTCTTTCTGTTTTGTTTGGTGTATCTATTCAGGAGGAATCTGGGAAAGAGCATTTGGCTACTGAGTTTGCAGAAAGGGATGGGTCTGATGGGGGTCACAATGCAAAGTGTGATGTTGATCAGGATGTCTGTGTGGAGGCTGTGGATAGTTTAAGAGATGAAGTATTTTTTGCTAGAGATCCTACTTTAGTTTTCCATGAAAAGCCATATATAAGCTCTTCCAATAGAGAAGAAGAACCTTCTAGTCATGAAATGGTGTCTAGTGGTGCTGTAAACTCTCCAAGATGTGGAAGAGAAATTGTTTCACATATAGAAAAGGATGGTGAAGGAAGTTCTAGCCATGATCAAAGTAGCTTATTTTCCTTTAAACCGGGAATCCAGAAAAATGGCCTTGAAAAGGTTAGCGTCCTATTTGTTTTGGATAGAGGCCTGCATATTCATAACCTGCACATTGTGCCTAGCCTTATTCACTTATTCTGTGATACATACCTTGGTACATGATCCTGCTCAATTTCACATTGCTTGTGTCATTGTCTTTTTTTTTTTGATATGGTATATCAGTGTGGTTACTCCTCAAAGTCATATTTTTGAGTATAAACTGTAAATCTGTAATTTGCCTAAAGATTATCGTGCTTTTTTCTTCTCATTTCTTGTGCTAGGCACAAGAAAAATATTCCAATTGTATGATCAGTTTGTATTTTCGAGTACCTCATTTTTTATTGGTTTTCCAGTTTTTCTTGCTGAACTCATACGCTTAAATAATTTATGTTAAGGTTGCTTCATCAGTCATGGCTGGAGGTGATGAGCTAAGCAGATTTAGTGACAAGCCAGGAGATGCTTCCCTGGAGGATTTATTTTCGCCGCTGGACAAAGTTCCAAGAGGTCAAGGTGCTGAACCTTCAACCTCTGATTCAGAGCAAAGAACTATACTTCATTATGATGGTGGGAAAAGTGTTTTAGCAGAAGAGCTGAAGGCTAGGATGACTAGGGCCCATATGGAGAATGAGGCAGGACAGAGAAATGGCGAGATGTTTCTAGAAATGATGATGGATGCTATTAATGAAAAAGTGATTGACGGTTCGGTATGCGTGTTTTCCACCAGTATTGTGTTAACTAGACTTCATTTTAAGCATGCATTTGTAATTTCATTATCACTTTCAATATTCTAACTTTTAGGGAGTCTTCATGTCTTACTGTGTTTTCTGAGCAGGTCTTTGATGAAAATTTGCATTCTGACAGTATTTTTCAGCTTCAGGTATTATAATTTATCTATCCACTTTGATTCAGGATATTGTACTGTCCCAGTTTCATTCATGCACTTGAAAATTATGCCAGCTTTCTGACATAACGGGTTTGATCTTCTCCATATATTTATGTTCAAGAAGACTGCCATTTCTTTAGTTAAAACTGTATCACATTATGTCGATTAATTATATGGTATATTGGTTCCAGATGAAGGGTTTATGATGTTTCTGATGCAGTGTTTTAAAAATCAGCCGATTTTATCAATTTATTGCTAATATATTGGGTTTGGGCCATGGCTGATACGGTTTCTGCAAAAAATTATCGCATATTGTTTTTGGCCGATTTTCCCCCATATATCGGTGTAAATCTGATAAAGGGGGCAGATTTCACATGGGCTAAAAATCTCTCAATTTTCTACACTTCACATTCTAAGTGAACTGGTTCGGGTTTGGAGACAAAAATCCTCTTTTTTCCATACCCGACCTGCATCCACTAAACAAGAATAGTGCTATCTCCTATTTTATTTTCTGCATCCACTAAACAAAAATAATTGGTTAGTGATCCTAAACATATGTTATTTACATATTAATATGTTTATATTTCATTAAATGTACTTAGATTATAGGACATTATTTTATATATGCTCACCATCCGATATGACACTGATTTTTAACTGCTAATCCCCGATATGACCCTGATAACTGGGATTCGATATGAATTTTGGCTGTCCAATATAATTTTGATAATCAATATTTAAAACCTTGTTCTGATGTGTTTGTACATTGTGCGCTTGTTCTTGAGGACTGTTAGATAATTTCTGGGGCATAAACCATGTGGATCTTCCTTCTACTGTAAAATTCATATATACATGGGTTGTATATCCTAGTGTGGCCTTCCAAATGCATATGCACATTATGCAAATTAGTACGGGGATAGTGTTATATAGCTTCAACTAATAGTCTTTTCCCGAAGCTATGTTTGGTATTACTTTGTGTAATATCCTTCTGTTTCTTCTTGGACATGGTATACTATGATCAAATTGAAATGCTGGCGCAAAATTTAGATGTTACTCGGATAGTTGCGAGTGATCTGGTTTCTTGTCATGCGTTCTGATTTGGGCTCCACTACCTGGATCTCTTTGGTTTGTATGTAACCAGTATTGTAAAGAAAGGTTTAGACAGCTGCATAAACAACCAGCAAATTTGATGTGGTACTAAACCACATTGAATTGAGATTATGCAACCCAATTGAACGATCAGACCACATAAGTGATCCTATGCAGGCTAATGTGCCTGTATAGGCCTTTTACACGATGTATCTTTTTTAGGCTACAACTTGAAACCAATTCAAGACTTGCCTTGTTTTGTTAAAACACTGAGGTCTCTAACCTTAACCCAATTTCATCTCCGCATCATTCCCTAAAATGGCCATCTCATTATTTCTTATTCTAGCAAGACCAAACCATTGGAGCAACCGTTAACCATTGGTTGCTGAGGCATGTACTCAAAGTCTTAAAAAACCTATATCTACCACTGGCAGTTAGGAGCGTGGTTTGGAAATACAGCCAATATTAAGAAACATGGTTTTATTATGAGTGTTTTCTAGGAGCGCTTCACGATTAAATGGATTATGCGTTGATTAACCGGATTACGCGGAATATGCATTTTGGAATTTTTAATATATTTTTATTATTTACCATAGGTTAAAATATGTAAAATTCATGAAAAGTAGAAACTAGACTTGGAAGCTTTGACTAATCTGATTTTCTCACATAGGAAAAAACCAAATCATTTAATTGAAGGATAGCTCTTAAGCCGCATAAATAGATTCATCGCGTTCTGCAAAACTTCAATCGTTCGCGTTCTGCAAAACTTCAATCGTCCAAGAATGGCATTAGTGGAGAGCTTCAAAGGGAACTCTGGTGAGCTTCAAGGTGATCGTTCGAGAGCTTGTAGGCAGAGCGTAGAAGGTCATACGATCTTCTAGTGAGTTTTCGTGTGTGGTGCAAGGTCGAGAAAACATCAACGAAGGCCAGAGATATTTGTTGCTGCCATTGGGTTCGAACAAGAGAGAATAGAGAGAGGAGTGGCGGAACTTTGGAAAAACTTTAGGGTTAGTTTTTTTACTTTACCAGTCGGGTCGGGTTTGCGGTGAACGTGTTTAACCCAGAAAGGATTTAAAAGGAAGAAATTATGTGGGTGCTTACTGAAATGCATCCGATTATGCAGATGACTGCATAATGGTTACACGAGGGGGTTGGGGTGAATTACATAATTGGCAACATAAATAAATGTCATAGCCCTTGTACCTTAAAAAAATCCAAACACGGTGGACGCACAACAAAAGCCTAAGGAACTCCAGAGTCCAGAGTGATCAACTAGGTCTGACATAATAGAATAGCGTATATTATCTTCAATCAACACCAAGCTCTCTGAAAATGCTCGTACGTGCATCAATCTCCTCAGATTTGTGGTTACCTTGATTCTAGTTATCCTTTTGTTATCTTCTGTCTTGTTATCATCACTAGGAAGAAGGGGTTCTTTTATCAAGAAGCTAAAAGTGATTCCTCACAGTCCAGTCCTTCATTTTGTTGTCAGAAATTTCTCTAGCGAAGTTCAGTGGAAGAAACAAGGAGAAACCTTGGTCTTGAAATATGAAGGAAAAGGGCATGTAGAATGAGGAAAGAGATGGTTAGACAATATATATAACGGTCCTTTATGTAAACGAACTGGGCATGAATCAAAATCAGATCCAACACTGAAACCATATTACATTTGTGAACTCCTGCCGGGTTGCATAAGAAATATGTGAACACATTTTGGTTTTTTGCTGTTGCTTTTGTTTTTTGATGCAATTTTGCACAAGCGGGTATGCTAACGCAGACTCCTGCTTGGGTGCGTAAGAAATATGGGACAATATATTTGTTTTCTGATCTTCGGTTTGTATTTTTGATGCGTTTTTGCATGGAATACGTATTCTGATGTGGATATCTGTGTTATATTCATATGTATGTTGATGCATAAAAATCGTTTCTTTGAACATGGTCCTTTCTGTCATGAGATGATGAGAGGAATTTCTGGAAATCTGAAGCACTAGGGGGGTTTTCAATTATAGTTAACTTGCACTTTATTGGACAAATTTCATGAGTTAACCACTGGATTTTCTTTTGGATATGTGCTTGCTTTCTAGATAGTTATATTTCGCAACAGCGAACATTGCTTTTGCTTGTTCGCTTAATGTGTTTTAAATTGCGGTCCTTTTGATGCCTGGTTACAAGATACTTGAATTTCTGTGGATAAAAATTAATATGCACTTATATGCCAACTTTGTAGATTTTACACTTCATTATTTTTATGTATTTATGTGTGTTTTCTGCTTGACCTTCAGTCTGTGGAGTTCAGCAAATTAGTTGGTTTGCTGAAGCCAGAAGAATCTGAAGATGTAATTTTGTCAGCATGTCATAAGCTTAATGGATTTTTCATCCACCGTCCGGAGCAAAAACACGTTTTTATGTCTCAGCATGGTTTGCTTCCATTGATGGAACTTTTAGATGTTCCCAAAAATCGTGTACGTATTTCCTCACTTGATTTGGTTTTTTTATGGATTTACCACGTTTCAATATATCATGAAAATGATGGCATAGAGGCACATATTAGTTAGGGTGAAGTGGTGAACCTTATATGAGTAATTGAGTATATTCATTAGGGATGTAAAAGAAGCACATAACGGAGCAGATAGTGGTGTTACCATTGCAGTGTTTACAATTTTTGAATATGGATATAAATACTGATATTTCCCGGAATGAGACTTAATATTCGTATTCAGTTAGAATTATTTAATTTATTGAATTCAATATCACATTACTTTTGGGGACTAGACCTAATATTACTCAATATCATTAATATTTGGTAGGAAAAGCTAGTTTAATGTGATTGTATGACAGCGAAAGTAACAGATACATTTAAATACTATTTATTTTAAAGAATTACTAGAAATAAGCTTTGATCTTTACGGACTAGTACATTCCATGTATGTTTTTGATTGTATCAGGATGTGCTGGGGCGGCCCAGTAGGTCACATGGCAAAGCTGTGTCGCTTCCTTGCGGGGGGCCTGTGTTTGATTCACGTGTGCGCCAAAGGCGCAATTAAAAAAAAAAGGATAATTGTGTGCTTATTCGGATATTTTAGTATTCATATCCCTAATCATATTTTAAAAGAATGAATAACACCGTCTAATTTTCCCATCATGCGAATATGGAAACATGTCTGGATTTTGTATTTATTTACATCCGTAATTTTCCTTACCCTTTTTTCCCTTTATATTCAGTTCAGTGCATTATCATGAGTTGGATATGAAACTTTGCTGTCATTTGTGCAGGTTATCTGTGCTGTACTTCAAATTATTAATCAGATAGTCAGAGATAATGTAGCCTTTCAGGAAAATGCTTGTCTAGTTGGCCTTGTGAGAATTTTTCTTGATCGTATTGTTTTCCCCCTCTCTGTACTTGACTCTGTTTCCAGCTGTTACTGAGGGTGATGATGTATATGTTCCTGAAAATGCAGGTTCCAGTCATAATGAACTTTGCTGTGCTTGATCGCTCCAGAGAAGTTCGTATGCAAGCAGCCTGTTTCCTCCAGCAGCTTTGCCAGTCCAGGTTTAGATTTTACTATATTTATCTGTGTAGGATCAAACCAACTGTGATCGAAAGATTAGCTACTGATTGTATCCTGTACGGTTTTTCATCCAGCACACAAACATTGCAAATGTTTATTGCTTGCCGAGGAATACCTGTTTTGGTGGGTTTTCTTGAGGCTGATTATGCAAAGCACAGGTTGGTACTTCATCACAGTATAATATCAGTATTTTGATTTTTTTCTTAACTTTTTTGAGTCTCTGTGTTTTACTTCCTGTGTGTTTGACTGCCTACATACTTTCAGGGAATTGGTTCATCTTGCGATAGATGGCATGTGGCAGGTGTTTAAGTTACAGCATTCGACCCCACGGAATGACTTTTGTCGAATTGCTGCTAAGAATGGAATACTTCTCAGGCTTGTGAATACCCTTCACAGTTTGAATGAAGCTACCCGCTTAGCCTCTGTACCTGGTGGAAGTGGAGCACTTCCACAGAATGGTTCATCTCCAAAACCGAGATCTGGTCCATTGGGTCCTCTTCCTCATGCCATGCAGTTTGAATCACCCTTATCCAGTTCTGGACAACTTGATTCTTCCAAGGTTAGGCTTGAACATCATTTGTCTGGTGTAGCATTAGAATCATTGCATACTTCTCAGAGGCCAGAAGTAATTCAACTAGATTCCAAACAGCTCTCTGGGGACATGGAGAAGGTTCCTGCAGGCCATGGTAAATTAGAAGCTTTGCTATCATCCAAGTTCTATGATAACACCAATGAGAATGGTGGAAGTTGGGCAACTAGAATTTCAGCATCTGCAGCTTCAAAAAAGAATGAATACACAGGCTCATGGAAACCTGATTCTTCTCGATCAGAAGTTGAATTACTTAGGCAACAAAGGGTTTCCAATTCTGCCACTAGGAATTCTACAGATAAACCTCCAAAGCATTTTGACATCTCATCAAATGGACACTCTGGTATAACAAATCACCTACCATCTCAGCAGGATCAGATTAGGCCTCTGTTGAGTCTGTTGGACAAAGAACCACCTTCTCGGCATGTCTCTGGACAGCTTGATTATGTTCGCAACCTTTCTGGACTGGAAAGGCATGAAACCATTTTGCCGCTTTTGCATGCATCGACAGAAAGGAAAACCAATGGTGAACTTGACTTTCTGATGGCTGAGTTTGCAGGTAAATCCTTTCTCGACTTTCACACTTCAAATGAGGAACACAAATATAAATGTTTTTTTTCATGCTTAATAGTCTGGATAGATATCAATGAAGAGAACAAAACTAGGAAACCTCTCTCTCTCTCTCTCTCTCTCTCTCTCTCTCTCTCTCTCTCTCTCTCTCTCTCTCTCTCTCTCCTTATTCTCTCATCTCTCTTCTCTCTCGTCTCCTCTCTCTCTCTCTCTCTCTCTCTCTCTTCTCTCTCTCCTCTCTCTCTCTCTCTCTCCTCTCTCTCTCTCCTCTCTCTCATCTCTCCTCTCTCTCTCTCTCTCTCTCTCTCTCGCTCCTTTCTCTTCTCTCTCTCTCTCTCTCTCTCTCTCTCTCTCTCTCTCTCTCTTCTCTCTCTCTCCTCTCTCTCTCTCTCTCTCTCTCTCTCTCTCTCTCTCTCGCTCTTTCATCTCTCGCCTCTTCTATTCTCTCTCGTCTCTCTCTCTCTCTCTCATCTCTCTCTCTCTCATCTCTCTCATCTTCTCTCTCTCTCTCTTCTCTCTCTCTTCGTCTTCTCTTCTCTCTCTCTCTCTCTCTCTCTTCTCTCTCTCTTCTCTCTCTCTCCTCTCCTCTCTCTCTCTCTCTCTCTCTCTCTCTCTGCCTCCTCTGCACAAATATCCAATGGACGTGGACAAGAGTTGCATCTGAAATTCTGATTTCCTATGACTTTCTCTCTCTGTATGTATTTATGTATATGTGCATGCTGTGCTACATATCTGGGTTAGGGTTCGATACACGCAAGTGTAACTTAGTTACACACACTTTGGAAAAATTACAATCTTGCCTATCTATTATTGAGAATCTTCAACTGTTATTGTTAATGTACATTGTCATTAAAATTACGTGGATCAAAGATCACGTGGCTTGGCCTTCTCTTACATGTTTCAAGACAACTCAAAGATAACGACATGTGCGAGACCAATACAGATTGTTTCATATTCGTGGGTCATTAAATGACATAAACCGTATTAAAGTATTGAATTGGACTGAAGACTTTTGCATGCAGTTTGGAATGCAATAGATCTCAGCATGAACGTGACGATGATGGATCATTAATATCACATGCGGCGAACACTGGCCTTTACATATGTGTATAACTAAGTCACATCGTATGTCCATCATATACTTAGGTTACACACCTAATATATATATATAATATCATAATATTATATTACTTATATTAATATATAATATATATATATTATATATGAGAAGAAACAGGAGACCTTAGGGTACAACGTTGTTGAAAAGCAACTTGGTAGTGATATGGCCTATCGTTGTCCCTACAATCACACTCGAAGTAGAGCCTCAACATCTTCACCAACTCCAATGGTGATGTAGGGTAGGCAAATTGGCCACATGCACTACCAAGTTGTTTGGAGCACTTGGTACCAAGTTGCGTCCATGTTCTCTCTCTCTCTCTCTATATATATAATATATATACTTATTTATATATATATATTATATATTCTTATTTATTTATATTTATATTATATATATTATATGTGTGTTGTGTGTGCGTAGCCCTGCGCTGCGCGGTAGAGTCATCAACATATGGATACTGCAATTGACATTCTAAATTTGGAATTTCCATATTGAAAATCTTTACAGGAGATGTGTTCGTATCATCAACTAACATTGAAGTACCAATTGCCAACTTTAATTTCATTGGTCTATACAGTGTATATTTTGGCCATCAAACTGACATTCAGAAATTTATCAAAGTAGCTTATCTTTTGGCCATGATCCCTTGATACCACTGAGTACAACATCAAGCTTTATAATTATTTTTTGCTCTGGTCCCATGTGTGTTACAGCAGGCCACAACGATTTTCAATTTAGAAATTCAACCGTAGAAATGAATTGATATCATCCTCATCTTGGTCTATTATAGCAGCCTAGCTTAACGATATATGTTTATATGTGTTCATATAGCGTACTGTATCATGCATCGTATAAGTTATATGAATTGAGAAGAATTTTGATATTTTAGAAAACTTGGGAATGTATAGATTATGAGCCTTCTTTAGGTTAGATCGACAGCAATCACTTCCGTCGAAAGTAATCATATCGAGACATATGACTGCTTGAGAACTATGTTGGCATTGGATTTCATTTTATGCTGATAATATTGCCTCATAGATTTTTCTCCCTGGCCATGCCTGATTTCGATAATTCATAAAACGGCAAGAACAACATGACCTTGTCATAAGGTGATGCAGGCTACATTAAAGGTTTCTTGTACGAAAAAGGTTGAACCATGGAAGCTACATGGTTTTCTTCGCACCTTAACCTGATAAAAAATGAAGCACATTTTAGGAGGATATAACCTTACCTTAACCGACACACAAAAAATTGATGGATGATTTCAGACGGACCCTTCAGAAGGCTAAAATGGTGATGCCCTCTAGAAAGTCTGATAATATCTTCTCCATTGATGAATTTTAGAGGTTAATTTCTGTCCACATTTAAAAAGTTAGTTCAATGCCCTTCCTTAATCCTCGTTGTCAAACAATGACATTAAGCCTTTAATTGTTATCTTTGATGCCACACCTGCATGTGTACTTTATTTCAGCGACTAATTAAGTGATGCTGTCACATTAAATATTTTCTGGATGCATAAATTTTGACAGCGAATCTCTCTCTTTTTTT